CACACACACACACACACACACACACACACACACACACACACAGGAGGGTAATGAAAAAGTTCACATCACTGAAAAGAGCCAAAAAGCGCAGAAATAAAAATCTCCACTCATCGGTTTGATCTGTGTTGTGTTTCTCAGCAGTACAGATTATGACACTTTTCTGTTTTGTGTCTCTTTGTTCTCATTAACAGATATTTTTATCGCTCAGCAGCATCTCTGGATGATTCTTTGCTTCACAGTTTTTATAAAGATAAAAAAAATCCAAACTCCAACCTTCTAAACTGAAATCTGTGACATCGTTGTTGGTACATCCACCTTTCACGTTTTCAGTTGTCAGCACTGTGAGCTGCCATCCTGTCCCACTGCATACTCAGGTATCGATGCAAAACACGAAACACTTGCTTCTCATAAACCTGCTTTAAAAAGCCTTTATTCTGTCTTCCAGCAGCCACAGTCACTACTTTCACCTGTCATCTGTCAGCAACTTGTTTAGAAGACATGAAAGAAGAGTGAGACACGGGATGAAGAACAATGACATCAAATTTATTTAAACTAACATGAACAAAAACCACCACCAGTGAGGCTGTGCGCTGGTGGAGTCATGTGGAAGAAGAGCTTCAGAAGTCTGGTGACTCCACGGTCTGCTCCATCCACCATCACCCACTGCACTGTGGAAATAGACCACACAGACAAGACTATACAGACTATACAAGCAAGCAAACCATCACAAAAGCTTGTGTTGGTGCTACCTATCCCAGCATGCCCTGCACCACCACAGCAACCAGCGGAAGGAGTTTCCGGGTAGAGAAAAGAGACCACATGTTTGTCACCATGTCATCAGCCAGCCTTCGTGACTGTAATTGTTTTACTGTCATTATCCTCTCCGTGTTTTATCAGAGCTTTCCCCACCAGGAGGCAGCGTTTTCACAGCGTGCTGGAATATCTTCAGACTTCTTCTAACTCAACTTCAGCTGATATCTTCTCACAACATGACATAAACGTTATTTATTCTCCTTCTTTTCATAGCAGACGATGACTTTGGGAGGTTTAAAGCTATTATAAGTACAGAAATTTAACAGATGTCCAGGCTGTGTGGACCACCACTGATGGGACAGTGGAGGGGATTAACCTGTGCCGAGGACGTTGCTGAGACACCACTTTGTGCACTATGTCCACTTCCGCTGTGCCGAGCTTTGCGAGAATGGGCCTTCAGGTCACTGCAGGACATCCTGGGAATTTTGGCATACTGACTAGTGTGATCTCTCCTGGAATAATTAATAGCATACTGGTATCTGAAGTCCCTGCTAATGTCACAAATGCCTTTCTGTTGTGTCCCCTGGTGTGCAGTGCTTTAGCTTATACGTTAAGTATTTTGCATAATTATAACTGTACCTAAATCTTAAGAATTGGCCTCAGGTGATTTTATATGACCTGCAGGATGCAAATGCTTTGCCTGAATGTTAGTAAATATGTCGTTTTGGGCCACAGTTAGTACCTGTCATGCTTTTAGCTTGACTGGTGTTGTGGGGATTTGTTTTTCTGTTTGCCTCTTGTACACCGTTAAACTCACTTTGTGTATTTTTTCTCCATCTATTTCTGTCAGTAGTCTACACAGCCATCAACGACTGTACTGCATTACAGTTTTAATGTAATACATCTATTTAATTTTACCATATTATCCTGTTTAAATTACAGTTGACACACTTGTGGGTCTCATATTTGACTGTTTACATTATTAAACATTAAAAGATTATAAAACCTGGACTTTTCACACATCCATGTTGACAGTGTTTTGGTCTGCTTCTCTTCTCGGGGGACGAGGCGGTCGGTTCTGATTCTAACACTGTTTGCCAGTTTAATTTATGATGCCACGAGCAGCTCCAGCTCGGTGCCATAAATTTAGTTTCGACCAAGCTCAGGGAATAATTAGCAGCCAGGGTTCAGACCCGGAGCTCCCGGCAGTGGAGCTGGTCTCTGGTGGTTTGTAACTGGAGCTGGTTCTGGTTCTGGTGCTGTGTTTGTCTTTCCCTCTCTTTATTCTCTCTGACCTCAGCTGCTTTTCTGCCCCCCTCAGTCTCTGTGTGCGCTGATCATTGACCATGACAGATGGACTGGAGTGATTGGATGATGCTGTCGAGGATCGCACATGAACTCAAAGTTGTTGGGATCGGCTCGACTGGATGTGACCGGTAACTGCGCTGTTGCACATTCAGACCTGACTCCAGGTGACAGCGCCTTAAAAACACATCACAACTGAACGTCATTAATTGCTGACCAGTGTGTTTTTACGGCATACGGTGAAGCACATGAGGCGACTGATTTGGTGCTAAGTGAATAAAATTGAACTGAACTGAATGAATGTTACAACAGTGTGTGAAGGAGCTGCAGTAATGGTTTTCTGTGTGACTTTATGGGTCGTTCATGTCGTTGTGGTAATATTTCGGCCCACACTTCTTCACAGTTCATTGAGGTTTGTGTGGATTCATTTGTGCACATCTCGCAGCATTTCTGTCTGGTTGAAGTCTGGGCTTTGACTCGACCGTTGCAGCAGCTTAATTCTTTTAATTTTCAGCCTTTCTGTTGGAGATTTGCTTCTGCGCTCAGGATCATCGTCCTGTTGTTGACCCAGTTTGGTCTGAGCTTTAGCTGCCAGACAGACGACTTCACATTTGACTCTAGAATACTTTGGTTTACAGAGGAGTTCACGGTCAACTCGATAACTGCAAGCTGCCCACGTCCTGCGGCTGCAAAATGAGCCCGCATCATCAGCCCACCGCTGCTGAGCTGACAGTTGGTCTGAGGTATTTGTGCTGACATGCTGCGTTTTGGTTTGTCCAACTGTGCTGCTGTCCACGATGGGCAAAAACCTCCACTTTGTTCTCTCCTGTCCGCAAGACATCGTTCCAGACGTCTTGCGGTTCGTTCAGATGCAGCCAAACTTGTTCTTTACAGACAGAAGAGGCCACGAGGCTTCCAAATAAGCCACACTTATTCAGTCTTTATCTAATTGTGCTCTCAAAAAGTTTAACATGCTAACTGAGGCCTGTAGAGCATTTTTGGTTGTTTGTAGTTTCTTTGAGCGTTGCACAGTCTGGCCGAGACGTGCTGCAGACCAGAAAACTGCCAAAACCTCGGCTTTGATGGAGGTGCTGACACTCAGTGATGATCAGTTAATCAGGTGCATTTGATTAGCAGCGCCTGGCTGTTACTTGAATCCCAGTGGAAGCAGTAAAAGTGGACCTCACTCATGCGTCTGCATTTCTGATATGTAAACCTTAGAAATGAACGGGGTGTACTTTCTTTCTCCAGGACTGTATGTGTGCACGTCTGCAGCTCTCTCACTCTCTGAGAGGAATTCCTGCACCGTGTTTACTCCGGTGCTACATACGCTTTCAGGAAGGCGTTCTGCTGTGATTGAATGTGGTACAGAAATAATCCCGATGGACACCGCGGGGGTGTGAACACTTTTTATAGCCTGTGTATATTTGAGGGCACTTCCTGTATCGGAGGAATCGTGGGTGTGCGTTTGAGCGTGAAATGTAAACAGATCCCCCGGACCTCGGATTCCTGCTCTGGACCCACCGGTCTCGCTTCAGAAAACGTTGAGCGCAGCAGATTGGGACACAGTTTGGAGAAAATGTGGTTTTCCTTTGGCAGGTCTGGCTCGTGTGGCATGCAGGACGCGGGGAACATTTCATTCTGAAAGATAAGTTGTTGACATTTCTGAGTCTGAGACATGCAACGAGGATCCCAGGCCAGAGCCAAAACCAAGGACATCAAGTGCACATGGAGTCTGATTCGAGCCAACTGACAAACAACCGTTTCCAGTACGCGGAGCTGCTCCGAGGCGAAGAGCTGCCTCGCTGCTTTTTATTCTGGCGAATGTCAAAGACACAGCGAGGGATTTATCCTGACGCTCATATCAACAGTCTGTCATAAGTTATGATTTTATAACAAACTGCAAGCGTTTGGAGTCGGTGAGCATCACACCCTGGGACTCCATCAGCTCCAGACCAACAGGCCAAAGGACGGGACTGCTCCAACTGTCAGTAAATATATCAGCGTGTTCCCAAAGTCCTCGCTCAGGTCGCCCTCACATCATATCATAGGTCCTGTAATTATCAGTCTAGTTCTTTCTCTGCAGGATCCTTCAGATCATCTACAAAAGTTTACCCCTTCAAAGTCGGATGAAGCTCCACCTGTGGTAAAGGTTTGAATGGTTCCACCCCTTCACGGCCTTTCTGACTCAGCTCGGTCTTTTCCAGTATTCGGCACCGCAGACATCCATGTGAAATTTTCTGGGCTAAAATTCACAGTTTGGATCTGATTAAAAATACAGCCAAAAGAATTTCACACTGCTCCAAGTGTCACAGTCTGAGGCCAAGATCTGCTTTTGTTCAGCACGACTTTCTCCGTAACCAGCTGCATCGCGGGACACGTTTAATGTGACGTGAAGGAGCAGAAACAAGCATCGATACTCCGGATGTTTGATCTTTTTTCTGATCATTCGCTGGAAAACACTTCAAAGAGTGCATTCTGGGTAAACTTTCAAGGTTCACATTACCAAAACACGTTACAGCGCACGAAGAGGCTCCTGTTACGTCATACCCAGCGGTTTTAATTAGCTGCACTGCGGCTGCAGTGATATAGTCGATGTGGACAATGATTATTATATTGTTGTCTGACAAAAAAAATCCTTTTTCACCTTTGATGGTGCGAAAAAAGCTGCCGTGACGTGAAACATGTAAAAGTGTGACTCAGTGTTTCGTTCAAAAGCTTGTGTGTCAGAAAAGTTTCATCACATGAAGACAAATTCTTTTAGGGCTTCATTATATAAGCAAAAGATCAGCTGTTTCAGGTCAGGCGGGAACGC